CATGTCCAAATCATTGTAACTTATTTATTGCTAGCTAGTAAGTCTGTTGTGAAAAGTGTTATTAACAAGCATACAAGTATCACTTTGCACAGCAAACTTACTCAGCTCTGGCAAGCCTGGGGACAAATGAAGCCCCAGATGGAGGGTCGGGGGAGGCCTCAGGGGCAATGGGGGTGGGTGGGGGAGGCAGCGGAGGGCTGAAGCCCCGCAGCAAGAGCCCAAAGCCCTGCAATTGGAGGATGGGGCCCAGGGACGGAGCCTAGGGCTGAAGCCCAAAGGCTGAGTCCCACCATCTCTGGGAACGTGGGGAACTCACCAGCTGCCTGTTCCTCCAGGCTTGTGCCCCAGCTGTCTCCAGAGGTGGGACAGGGCCTAACCCCTGTGGGTGGCCCCAGCAACCAACACCAAGGCCATGCATCCAAGAGCAACAGGGAGGGGGAGGGGATGCTACCTTGCCCCCCATACCTCCATCCACAGCCCATGATGCTGTGCCTGCAAAAACTGAATAATTTATTCACCCAATTAACACCAGCATCGTCTTCTCATATATAATGCATAGACCATTCACCATTTTGAATCTCTCAAATTTCTTGTAGTGTATTTGAAAGATACTCTATACATTATAATGTATAGTGTTTTAATCTACTTTTTAGAAACAACACCAGCATTAATGTTAAAATTACTATTCTTGAGCAGATCTATGCATTTTATAGTTTGAGAGGCAAAGCGAGTTACTTGATCTACCTATTTCCAGTGCTGTTTAGGATTGTTATTATCTAGGTTGAACTGTTCTTACACAACTGAAAACCTACATATAGAGGAATTCCTCTTTTCTTTTTTTCTTTCTTTTTTTGTTTTGCCTTTTTAATAAAAAAAATACATGACACAGAATACTCATCTTCCATTGAGCTCCATGGGCAGAACATATGACTCATTCTTGGAAAATGTAATTTTCCTATCTATACAGGATTTTGAAATGTTTGTTCAGCCACGATTTTACCACTACAGCTTCAGTTGCTTTATTGTCATTTTATTAACACCTGCTTTGACAATCCTTTCCAATAAGGATCTTCCCATTCTGGACAACGGTCATATTATTGCCAAGATTTTGTTTGTCCTTTAAAGATCTTTAATTTTACAATAGTTCCAGTCCACAGGATTCATTTTAAACAAAATAATTGGCTCTTAATTTCCTGGTTTTCAGTGAGACTTTCTGCAAACAGAGTATCCAAATGAAGAATTCTATAAACTGTACCTTTGGGTTTTCACATATAAATCTAACAGAAAAGGTGCTTTAGGATTTGGTTCTGATTCTCTGTATAGAGACAATTGTAAAAAAGAAGAGAGCTTGTTACATGAGATCTTCTCTTTGGAACAGTCTTTTTAGACGAGGCTGTATGGTCCTGTGCTTTGTATTTAAATATTTATACTACAAACAAAAATGAGATGCTTTTATTTGCAAATGGAAAACTAAATCTGTGCAGAGTCCTAGGTTAGAGAGGCACATCTATCTTCCAGTTATACTGTTACCTTACAAGAAATTAGACTGTCATTAGAACATTCATATTTTGAGTCACCCTGCATGTGATCATAGCCAAAAGCATTCTTGGGTTTATTTTCTGTGCCTCTGACTCTTAATCAGTTGTCTTTTCCTATTTCTTTCTGCAGTGTTATCAACACAATGCTGGTGACCTGTGCCGTTTGCTGTTACCTCTTGTAAGTATAAATAATGCCACCACTCCCAATAATAGGACACCTGATAAAATGAAAAAGGCCTCTTCAGTGAATAAATGTCTAGGGGAAAATTTTCAAAGCACAAAAAGGATTTAGGAGCACAACTCCCTTTGAAAGTCAATGGAACTCTTGCTCCTAAATTCCTTCAGCAATCTTGAAAAAATTCCCGTTAGTGGATAATATATAAAAGTGAATCTGGATGTATATTATTCTCTGACATATACCCAAAGTCTTAGTACTTTTATATTGATTTATCTTGGCTATTGCTTTCTGTTTTACAGACCTTGAGTTATTCAGCTCAAGCCTCTTGAGGGTTTCTCAGTTCTTGAATAATTTGTATTAATTGTAATAACTATTTGTGTGTACCTATTGGTGGCAGGTCAACCATGCCTAAATCCTTTGAGGTGCCAAGAGCCCTTGACTTCCACTGAAATCAATACTGTGCTCCTTGATTATGCCTTATTTTATGGTATTAATAACAATTCTCTCTTAGCCACCTAATGAGCAACTTCTGCGCTCCTGGAAACACTTTACAACCCTCTTTGCTTCCTATTTCATCTTTCCTTGCCGATAAATAGATGAGTTATAGGTACAGTCTGCAGTGAAAACCCTTAATTCTGTGAAATGATTTCTTCCTCTTGATAGGGACTTGTGATTGAGATCAAAATACCTTTCAGGCCATTTCTACACAGCACTCTTTTCTCTACAAGTACAGACTGGTACAGACAGTAAACTGACATACCTATTGTGGGTACATCCTGGTAGGTGACTTGTTCACAATTCAATGACAGAACAAGTCCATTTGGGAGTGTTCACACATTCTCTAGTTGCAAGCAATCACTCATAACACACCATGGTGATGAGCTTAATATAAATAACCTCTTAGAGGGATACATCTCAATTTCTGGGACTTTGGGTGCAGGGATTGGCAGCACAAAGCCATGTTTTTAGTGTCTGCATTATTTGTAGTAGATGGCATGTTTAAAGTAAGGTCTGTCTTGTTCCATCTTGAGCT